CTCTTGTCTCTGGCATGCGAACCCTTTCTCTGTGAACAATTGAATTATAACGTTGTGTGGTTGAGTGAATATCCAGAAATGCAGAGGTTTAATTTTTCATATTGAGAACAATACCTTTTATCCTTGTTCCTTTTAGATAGGTTTGAAATAATGCTGTTCGAAATTTCTTCTTTTTGTTTGGCGTATCATTTCACCAAATGTACTACAATCACCCATCTAAAATGAGATTTGATTGAACGACAATATGTTTGATAAGGCACGTTATTTCATTCTAAAATTGTTATCCTACAACAAGATTTTTAGCAGATTGCAGACAAGAAGGGTACGTGATCCAGCCGTATAAAAGGGTACTCTGAAAGAATGATCGAGCACAGGACCAACGACCGAGACACACTTTAGTTCCTCGGTCGTGCGGCTTTTAAATAAACGTGATGTGCTCAGTCAAGAGAATATCGCGCTTTGATGAAGCACATGAGCAGGGAGCTTGAAGAGTGGCGCAATTTTTGCATGTTGTCGTTTTACACATACTATGAAATAAGAGACCATATTCATGAGTTTTTAAACTTTTCAAGACAACAAGAACAATTTTTTTTGTACATCAGCGAGATGATAGTAGTATATCCGAAATTTCCTAAATGCAGCTGCACATCTTCCGAAGATTTTGTCTCACTATGTTTCTGACGCATAGTAAGGTGGTACACAATTACAGTATGAAAATTCCGCATAATAAGGAGCCACAATGCAAATGTGCCATTGGTGACAACGAAAACTGCGCCACTCATACAATTCGCCATGCGTCCTGCGTCCTGAAAAGCTTTCGTGGTGCTACTTATCAAATACTGGAATCATAAGGATATACATAAGTCAAATGGCCTTTTATTACGAATTTGTTCCAAGTGGATGCTAAAGCGCTGGATTCATGTATTCTTAGCGTACTCCCCGAAAAGCATTATGGAAATTTCTCCCTGCCAAAATCAGCTTCAACAAACTGGCGATAACACACTCAAGCGGTTATTCAGCCTAAAACAAAACAAGCTTTTTTTGTAGCCAGGATTGTAAGTTGCATCCTGTTTGAGCGCTGTGTTAGCTGGATTTTTCCTTTCCCACAACTTGCAGGTATCACACGCCATTTTTTAAGAAAAAACGTCACAACTTCCAGAGAAGTATGTCTCTTAAGTAAGATTTGCAGTCATCGCTTCTAATCCCATTCATTGATGCACAATCCTTGCACAAGGACACTTCAACTTTTTTGTGTTCACTTATCAGATTTGGCTTCTTCTGTTGTGCAACAGTTAAAGTGAAAATTTTCCTTTTAAAAATTAGTGTTTACAAACTGCATAGACGTCGGAAGTTTAGGATATATGTAAAGGAACTTTGCAAAAGCATATTTTGGACTGGTCAATGTTAATCTAATGCGTGGTCAGGTTACTAGAGAGTTAAGCCTTTAAGCAGAGGATAGCAAGATTTGCGCAAATTTCTTAGGAAAGAGTACATAATTTATTCAAGATATCATTATAAAAGATCAAGTATCTTTCTATTGCAATGTAAGATTTACTCCTAGATATATCA